GTCTCGAAAACAACAGTCAGGACCTGAGAACTTCACGTTCCAAGTTGCGTTGTTCCACCTTTCCTCGCTTACGAACTTTAGCAGCTTCCAGAAACATTCTTCGCAGACGATGTGCGAGCCATGTCTTGCTGTTGTGCACTGTGGACATGACAAAGGGAACCACAGCGCAAGTACATGGAACCACACAACGCAAATGGTCAGGCCTGCATGCAAGCTGGTGCCGCCTCCCAAAGAAACAACCTCAGGAAAAGCTCAAAAGAACATCCCCGGACGGCCGCGCAGCCCTGAAAACAACCCCGAGTTGCATCCCCCACCACACCGGGAGCCGAACCGGGATCAGCCTGTCCCTGGAACTTTGGCTTCGCTTTTGGATTCTGCCGCGGAGTTCTGACAGGTTCCGACCTTCCTTTTTTTTCACGGGTCCGAAGCTCCATCAGACACGGGTTCAGGGATTTGGCGTCCTACTGGAGAACACAGAGCACGCTAGAACAGATCCGGAGCACCGTCCCAAACAACCCCGGAAGTCCGGAGGAGACCATTCCGGAAACCTTCCGGAACCTTCCGGACACCCCAAACACCGCAGCACTTCCCCGGAACACTCCCCGGAACACCCCATCAGAACCATCAGGGAACCCTGGAGGACCTGGAACAATCCCGGAACAACATCACTGGAACCTTGGATTTGTTTTGCATTGCCCCGTGGAGTTTTGACAGGTTCCCCAACTTTCCATTTTCAGGGATGGAAAGCTCCATCAAACACGCGTTCAAGGATTGGCCGGCGTCCTTCTGTGTTGTGGGATTCGTTTTGGCATTCCGCCGGGGAGTCTTGACCGGGTTTAGCGAACTTTGAAATTTTCAAAGATGGAAAGCTCCACCAACACCTCAAGTTCAAGGATTGGCGTGTCGTTTTGTTTGTGTTTTTGGGATTGGCTTTGGATTTCACCGGTCCTGCGTGTCCTCGGAGGCTCCGGACTCGGAGGATCCCTTTCAGCACGAAACGTCCCCCATGCATATCCCAACTTTCTGGCAGTCGTTGTAAAGGCCCCACACCCGAATTCCAAGGGAGGTGCCCGGTTGCCCGGTTCGTGGATGCGACATAGACGCGGTTTCTCGAGTGCTTTTACGCGCGGACCCACCCTTTCTTTGCATTCTTACTGCTGATTCTGTTACTACGCTACCTGGCTTTCCGTGTTGCCGTGATTTCTTTGTGGCAGTGCAAAAACTTTGTGAAAAAGGTTGTTGAGTCTTTTGTTTTTGGTCTTTTGCCGCTTCTTTTCATGTGCACTGTTTGGTGCCTTCCGCTTTTCGTTCTTTTGTGTGTTTGACTCTCTTTTTGATTTGCTTTTCTGATTTGTTTTGCAGTCTACTTTGTGCTTTCTGTTGCTTGTTTGGCCGTGCCACGTCACTCCAACCTTGCCGCTATATCAAAGCCGGGCCAAAGCCAAGCTATGCATTTAGTGGCTGCGCGCATTGGCCTCCGCCCAAAACCAACAGCCCGGGCAAAGCCAAACCATCTCAACCATGCATTCAAGCATGTCCCCTTTGCTTCACAGGCCAGCCTTGATAGAATGAAATACTCGGCAAAGTGAAAGATCGGATTCTTGTCGTTAAGCCGCCACCTCCCCATCCAACGTGCAGTACAAACTATTAGACGATGTTCTTGTCCATTTCTCAGCGGCTGCTTCATGCCAGGGTTTAGTCAGTTTAGTCCTTAGGTCATTTTGTCCTTTGGTCAAGCAGGGCAGGACTCGGATTCAAGCCGCCATGCATGCATGCTTCGCACGTACTGTAGTCTGTAGTGTATATACTCTTCTATCACATGTTTTCCGCATGCTCTATCGTACAAGTGTGAGTATAGTGCCTGGCAATGAACAGGAGAATCCCCCAAGCAACTCCGCCGTGGATCTGGTGCAGGCCCTCGCCGACGGCCTCCAGGGCCACTCGGCGCTGGAGGTGCTGTGGCTCCACCAGAACCGCATCGGCGACGCAGGTTTGCAGGCCTTGGGTTGCACGCAGCCGATGCGCGATGATTTCCGCGGGCAAGTGCAGTCTGATAGCTGGGTTTGTGCAGCATCAGATGAGACCTCCTCCGAACTTCAGCTCGGCTCACTCCTGTGCCGAAAAGGGGGAAGTGAGAGAAATTCTGAAAGGGGCGCTGGGAGCTGGAAGCAAGCAGGAGTTAGAAGCCCTCCCCCAAAGCCCTAAAATGAGTTTGAGCTGAGTTAGAAGCTCAAACCCGCGATTCGTCTGGAGTAGGCCCTGTGGGCCAGATTCATCCAGATTCAGTGCGGCTGTTGGGGTGCTCGGAAGCGAAACTGCAAGGGCAAGTCGTCAAGAGGATTGTAGTTCGCCTCAAGCATCAGGCACTCCCAAACCGCAACACATTGAGCCAACGAGACCCATTGGCGGATCCCGCAAGTCACAAGGCAACGTGCAAACGTCGCCCTTCGGCATGTGCGTGTCTCCCTTGCAGGGCCAAATGTCTAGCATGAACGCCTGAGCTTTCTCTCCCGGCGCGCTCCTTGTGCGGGGTACGGCTGCGCAGGCCTTGGCGGGCGCCCTCCGCAGCCACGGCCGCCTCCGGAACGTCGACCTTAGCCACAACGGCTTCGGTGACGAGGGCGCCGAGGCAGACGTTCTGTAGAGCAGCATCCTTCACCGGTTGCGTGTGGCACCCAGCAAACGCCTCTCAACTCTTGACAATTGGGCGCAGGCGCTGGGCGCCGCCATCGGCTCCTGGCCGCTCCTGCAGGAGGGTGTCTGGCAAAAGGTGAGTGCAACGGATTTTGCCTGATTTGTCTCGAGCTTCGAGGGGTGCAAGCTTGGGGATAGCAAGCGAGAGAAGCGCCGACGCACCTCAAAACTCGAAGCTTGCTACCACAGAACAGTGTGTGAGGAGCTGAAGATTGTCGGGAACTCCATCGGCAACCTTGGGGCCAAGGCTCGGGGGGGGCGGACTCCTCAAGAGATGCGGGCGGGAGTGCTTAGGAGTTTGGACAGTCAGGGCTCGGAGACAGGCCGCCGACATACTTACTTGCGCTTCGCACGCGTGTAGTCAACCCCAAACGTACCCAATCACTTGTGGGCCCAGAAAATTCCGTCGCTGCCCGTGAACTTGCTTCCGAGAGGCCCTCGAGATCCCTCGAGATTTCACTCAGACAGTCTGCAGTCATGCCATCCGGACATCCTGCAGGCATTCCATCGGACAGTGCCACCCCCTGAGAATTCCCCAGAGCCCTTGGAGTGCCCATTCTTGAAGAATCTCGCCGAGTACCCCTGGAGTCCTGAGAATCCTGCCTGGAGCGCCCGCTAGAAACCTTCTTCACAGACGATGTGCGAGCCCTGTCTTGCTGTTGTGCACTGTGGACATGACAAAGGGAAGCACGGCGCAAATTTACGGAACCACACAACGCAAATAGTCAGTCCTGCATGTAAACTGGTGCCGCTTCCCAAAAAACAACCTTCGGAAAAGCCCAAAAGAATATCTCCGAACAGCCGCGCAACCCTGAAAGCAACCCGAGTTCCATCCCCCACGAGCCGAACCGGCCCCTGGAATTGTGGCTTCTCTTTTGGATCCCACCGTAGAGCTTTCCTCTATTATTTTGTGGCAGTGCAACACCCCCAGAGAATGCTGCAGAGACTCCCTCACTTCGTCATTTCGTCCCCAGAGAATCTCACAAAAAAAACCCGCAAAGCGCTGCATCCCTGTGTGCAACCCGGAGAATCCCGCCGAGAATCTCAACAGTGCCCAGAGCGCCGAGTAGTTTTTGTGGTTTTAGGGTGGGGATGTGGTGGACATGATTATACAGTGTTCTTTGCGCTTTTTGCTATGCTGCTATGCCATGTAGCTCACAAAGGAATGCACATGATTTTAGTGTAGGTTTTCGAGTCTTTTGTTTTTCGTCTTGTGCTGCTTCTTTTCACGTGCACCGTTTGGTGCCTTCTGCTTTCGTTCTTTTGTGTGCTTGACTCTCTGTTGGCGTTGCTTTTCTGATTTGTTTGGCAGTCTACATTGACCTTTTTGTTGCTTGTTTGGCTTTGCCATGTTACTCCAACCCTGCCGCTATATCAAAGCCAGGCCAAAGCCAAGCTATGCATTTAGGCTGCGCGCGTTGGCCTCCGCCCAAAACCAACAGCCCCGGCAAAGCCAAGCTGTCTAAACCATGCTTTTAAGCATTTTCCCTTTTGCATCACAAGCAAACCTTGATAACATGAAATAACGTGAAAGAGCTCATTCTTGTCATTAAGCCGCCAGCTCCCCATCCAACGTGCAGTACAAACTCTTGAAGTGATGTTCTTGTCCTTTTTTCGTCGGCTGCTTCATGGGGCATGTAGTAGCTCTTGAAACTAGGGCGTGCCAGGGTTCAGTCCTCAGGTCAATTTTGTCCTTTGGTCAAGCAGGGCAGGACTCGGATTAAAGCCGCCATGCATGCACGCTTCGTACATACTGTAGTCTGTAGTGTATATACTCTTCTATCACAGGTTTTCGCAGCTCTATCGTAAAAGTGTGAGCATAGCGCGTGGCAATGAACAGAAGAATCCCCCAAGCAACTCGGCCGTGGATCCGGTGCAGGCCCTCGCCGACGGCCTCCAGGGCCACTCGGCGCTGGAGGTGCTTTGGCTCCGCGAGAACCGCATCGGCGACGCAGGTTTGCAGGCCTTGGGTTGGGGGAGCCCATGCGCGATGCTTTCCGCAGGGCAAGTGCAGTCTGATAGCCTGGGTTTGTGCAGCATCAGATGAGACCTCCTCTGAACTTCAGCTCGGCTCACTCCTGTGACGAAAAGGGGGAAGTGGGAGAAATTCTGAAAGGGGCGCTGGGAGCTGGAAGCCAGGAGTTTTGGAGCCCTCCCCCCCAAAATCCTAAAACTTGTTTGAGCTGAGTTGGAAGCTCAAACCCGTTATTCGTCTGGAGTAGGCCAGATTCAATGTGGCTGAAGGGTGTTCGGAAGCGAAACTGCAAGGGCAAGTCATCAAGAGGATTGTAGTTTCACCTCAAGCATCAGGCACTCCCAAACCGGAAAGACATTAAGCCAACGATATCCGGTTGCGAGTCCCGCACTTCACAAGGCATCGTGAAAACACAACACTTCCGGCATGTGCGTGTCTCTTGCGCAAGTGGCAACACTGCAGCATGAGCACTTGGGACTCCTGAGCTTTCTCTCTCCGCACACTCCTGGGTGCGGCTGCGCAGGCCTTGGCGGGCGCCCTCCGCAGCCACGGCCGCCTCCGGGACCTCGGCCTTCACAGCAACGGCTTCGGTGACGAGGGCGCCGAGGCCCGCGAGCTTGCCCTGGCAGGGCCGGCTCGTCTGCAGACGTTTGTGGAGCAGCATCCTTCAGCTTCTGCATGTGGCACTCAAAAAGGCTTCTCAACTCTTAAAAAGTGGGCGCAGGCGCTGGGTGCCGCCCTCGGCTCCTGGCCGCTCCTGCAGGAGGGTGTCTGGCAAACGACGTGATTGCGACGGATTTGCCTGATGTGTCTCGAGCTTCGAGGGGTGCAAGCTTGGGGATAGCAACCCAGAGAAGCGCCGGCGCCCCTCAAGACTCGAAGCTTACCACAGAACAGCCTGTGAGGAGCTGAGGATTGCCGGGAACTCCATCGGCGACCTTGGGGCCAAGGCGCGTGCGGGGGACTTGTCAGGAGATGCGGGCGGAAGGCACTGAGAATTTGGGGAGTGACAGTCAGGGCTCGGATTCAGGCCGCTGCATGCTTACTTACGCTTCGTACGCGCTGTAACCAACCCCAACTTGCTTTATGGCATGCCATGGACCCCCAGAACTTATGCTCCAGGGCCCCCAGAATTTTCAAGCTGAAGGCCCTCTAAGCCTTCAAGCCCCAAAAATCAATCAACATCCTGAACGCCAAACATCCCTAAATACGCTGCAGACGAGTTCAGGGGTCAACTTGTGATTCGATTTTTGTCGTGTCGCTGGTTGCATTTGTTCGGACCATTTCGGCTTTTGCTCCGGTAGCGCTCTCCCCCGTCTGCCCCGCGTACCCACAGAATTGCAAGAGCCGAGTCAGACGGTGCCCCCCCCCCCCCTTTTCTTATGGCTTGCCATTCCAGGCTAGCAAGGTCTCGGGACTGGTTGATGCAGACCTGAGGTTCGGGCCACGGCCCCACAAACCGCCAGTTGAGGCTTCAAACCTGTTGCAAATCGTTGGTGATCCTGTCGTAAGCGTCTTGGTTTTGGGCCATCCCAGCAACTGCATCGCTTTCGGCCCAAAGACAACCTTTGAATCATTTTGAAGCCTTCTCCTTTGGCCCACACTCCGCGACATCGATCTTAGCCACAACGGCTTCGGCTTCGGACGTGTACTCCTGGCAGAGAACCGGAGTGCTCGCCCCCAAAAGCCCGCAGAGAATCCCACAGAGCTCAGCCCAAGATTTTTTCTGCAGGGACTTCTGATATTTCAAAAGGTTGTGCTTGGGGATGACTACCAGCGGTCTCTTTATGTCGCATCGTTCGGTGCTTTTTGGACACGGATCGGCGTCCACATTGGGGGACTGCAGTCTCCATTGTATATCAATCATATCTATTGATGCAGCGAAGCTGGCCTCTTTGTCGGTAACTCAGCGTTTACATGGGGTGTGCAGCTGGTTGGCATGCTCACAAGGGTTGTGATCTCATGTCTGCGGAGCTTGGCAAAGTGCATGGCTCAGGGGGCTGGGCGTTCAAAGTAGCGTGGTTGCGTGTTACTAACGTCGATATATCTGCCGGACATGCTATCAGACAAAAGCGCAGCCTTGGTTTGAAGCTGGGCCTGTGTGCGAGTGGACCGCACCAGCAGCAATACCTAAATGGATGGGGTTGGCAAGGGTCAATACTGATGGCATGGAGGAGAAAGTACATAGACATCCCTTGCAGAGTACCCGAGAGGCCCTCGAGACTCCACTCGGACAGTCTGCAGTCATGCCATCCGGACATCCTGCAGACATTCCAGACAGTGCCCACCCCCTGAGAATCCCCCAGAGCACCCTTGGAGTGCCCATTCCTAAAGAATCTCGCCGAGCATCCCTGGAGTCCTGAGAATCCTGCCTGGAGCACCCGCTGACAATCCTGCAGAAGCCCAACCCCCTTATGGTGCCATAATTTTTGTAGAAAGCCTTCTTCCAAATCGCACGCAGAGAAGCGTCTCGAAAACAACAGTTGGAACTTGAGAACTTCACGTTCGAGCCGCATTATTCCAACTTTACTCGCTTACGAATTCTAGCAGCTTCTAGAAACATTCTTCGCAGACGATGTGCGAGCCATGTGTTGCTGTTGTGCACTGTGGACATGACAAAGGGAACCACGGCGCAAATGCACGGAACCACACAACACAAATAGTCAGTCCTGCATGCAAACTGGTGCCGCCTCCCAACAAAACAACCTCAGGAAAAACCTCGACTCAAGAATACCCCCGAACCGGGAGCCCCTTGATTTTTGGACCCGCTTTTGGATCCCTAGTTTTTATGGTTTTAGGGTGCGGATGTGGTCGAAATACTTATACAGTGTTCTTTGCGCTTTTTGCTATGCCACGTAGTTCACAAAGGAATGCACATGATTTTAGTCTAGGTTTTTGAGTCTTTCGTTTTTCGTCTTGTGCTGCTTCTTTTCACGTGCACTGTTTGTGCCTTCTGCTTTCGTCCTTTTTTGTGTTTGACTCTCTTTTGGCTTTGCTTTTCTGATTTGTTTGGCAGTCTACATTGACCTTTCCGTTGCTTGTTTGCCTTTGGTACGTCACTCCAACCCTGCCGCTTTTGTCAAAGCCAGGCCAAAGCCAAGTGGCTGCAGGCGTTGACCTCCGCCCAAAACCAACAGCCCCGGCAAAACCAAGCCGTCTAAACCATGCCTTTAAGCATTTTACCTTTTGCTTCACAAGCAAACCTTGATAGAATGAAATGCTCGGCAAAGTGAAAGATCGGATTCTTGTCGTTAAGCTGCCAGCTCCCCATCCAACGTGCAGTACAAACTCTTGAAGTGATGTTCTTGTCCTTTTTTCAGCGGCTGCTTCATGGGGCATGTACTGCAGGTCTTGAAACTAGGGCGTGCCAGGGCCTAGTCCTTAGGTCATTTTGTCCTTTGGTCAAGCAGGGCAGGACTCGGATTGAAGCCGCCATGCATGCACGCTTCGTACATACTGTAGTCTGTAGTGTATATACTCTTCTATCACATTTTTCGCATGCTCTATCGTAAAAGTGCGAGCATACCGCGTGGCAATGAACAGGAGAATCCCCCAAGCAACTCGGCCGTGGATCCGGTGCAGGCCCTCGCCGACGGCCTCCAGGGCCACTCGGCGCTGGAGGTGCTTTGGCTCCGCGAGAACCGCATCGGCGACGCAGGTTTGCAGGCCTTGGGTGGGGGAGCCCATGCGCGATGCTTTCCGCTTTCCGCGGGGCAAGTGCAGCAGTCTGATAGCCTGGGTTTGTGCAGCATCAGATGAGCCCTCCTCCGAACTTCAGCTCGGCCCACTCCTGTGCCGCAAAGGGGGAAGTGGGAGAAATTCTGAAAGGGGCGCTGGGAGATGGAAGCCAGGAGTCAGAAGCTCTCCCCCAAACCCTAAAATGAATTTGGGCTGCGTGTGAAGCTCAAACCCGTTGTTCGTCTGGAGGAGGGATTCAATGCGGCCGAAAGGGGTGTTCGAAAGCGAAGCTGCAAGGGCAAGTCGTCAAGCGGATTGTAGTTCATGAGTAGTTCATAGGTGGGAAACCAGTTCACCTCAAGCATCAAGCACTCCCAGCCCAAACCGAAACACGTTGAGCCAACGATATCCATTGGCGGATCCCGCAATTCACAAGGCAACGTGCAAGTGTCTCCTTCGTAGGGCTCCTGAGCTTTCTCTCTCGGCGCGCTCCTGTGCGGGCGCGGCCGCGCAGGCCTTGGCGGGCGCCCTCCGCAGCCACGGCCGCCTCCGGGACCTCAGCCTGGGCAAGAACAGCTTCGGTGACGAGGGCGCCGAGGCCCGCGAGCTTGCCCTGACTGGGCCTGATTGGGCCTGCTCGTCTGCATCTTGCTCCCTTTTTCAGGGGCTGCGTCATGTGTCATGTGGCACCCAGAAACACACTTCCAAGCGCCTTGAAAATGGACATGCAGGCGCTGGGCACCGCCCTGGGCTCCTGGCCGCTCCTGCAGGAGGGTGTCTGGCAAAAGGTGAGTGCGACGGATTTGCCGAGCTTCGAGGGGGTGCAAGCTTGGGCATGGCTTGGGGATAGCAGGCGAGAGAGACATGCCGACACTCCTGAAAACTCGAAGCCTTCTCCCCACAGAATAGCCTGCGAGGAGCTAAAACTCGTCGGGAACTCCATCGGCGACCTTGGGGCCAAGGCTCGGGGGGGACTCCTCACGAGATGCGGGCAGGAGGTTTCGGAATTTGGGGAGTGAGAGTCAGGGCTCGGAATCAGGCCGCCCCGTTCTTGACTATGTTTTGTACGTGCTGTTTGACAGAGAAAAGCCGGGAGCAGGCATCGCAACCCCAGGAGACCGAACCACTCATGGGTACAGAAAATTCCGTCGTTGCCCGTGAACTCATGCCGTGGAACCTGCCTTCGCAGGTACGATGCTCTAGGACTCTAGGCCCCTAGAATTTTCAAGCTGATGGGCATAGCAAACTCCTCTAAGTCTCTAAGCCCCAAAATCAATCAACACTCTGAACCCCAAACATTCCGATAAGCTGCAGACAAGTTCAGGGGATTCGGTCGCCCACGTACGCACAGAATAGGAGGAGCCAAGTCAGACGGTGCCTCTCCCTCCCCCCCCTTGTCTTATGGCTTGCCGTTCCAGGCTAGCAAGGTCTCGGGACTGGTTGATGCAGACCTGTGGTTCGGGCCACGGTCCACAAACCGCCAGTTTTAGGCTTCAAACGTGCTGCAAATCGTTGGCGATCCTGTTGCACATGTCTTCGTTTTCGGCCATCCCAGGAACTGCTCGCTTTCCGGCCCGGACAACCTTTGAATCCTTCTCCTCCGGCCTAAACACTGCGAGACCCCGATCTTAGCCACAGCGGCTTCGGCTTCGGACCTGTGCTCCGGGCAGAGAACGACCGCAGAGGATCCCCCCGGAGTGCTCACCCCCCAAAGCCTGCAGAGAACCCCACAGAGCTCAGCCAAAGACTCCTCTTCAGGGACTTCTGATATTCCAAAAGGTTGTGCTTGGGGATGACTACTAGCGGTCTCTTTATGTCGCATCGTTCGGTGACCTTTTTACGCATTGAGGTGCCCACCCTGAGAATCCCGCAGAGTACGAATCCTGCCTGGAGTGCCCACCCCCTGAGAATCCCGCAGCAGCCCAACCCCCTTATGGTGCCGAACGTAGAAAGCCTATTTCGCAATGGCACGCACAGAAGCCTCTC